CCCCAAAACCCCAAAACCCCAAAACCCCAGTGAGGTGGTGGAAGATTGGAGGAAGATAAATATTATTTCGAGCGGATCATGGAAAGATATTGTTCTGATGACTCTTATGAGTAGGGTTTTAGGGGTTATGTGGCCAAAATGGTGCTTTGGATATAGTAGAAGTCTAGTCTCGGATTTTTACAATGGTTTTGGCTTTATGCTTTCACTTTAGGGATGGTGATCACTTTAAGAGTGCAGAGTACAGTAGCCATCATGTGAAGAAGAAGACCTTTGTGCCTAAGCATGGCTCTGAGATGTCTCTGTACAAGACAAAGATGTGCAGGTTTATACAGGAAACTGGTAAGACCTTTACTAGACCTTCTTGGACTAATTTAGTGTGGTTTAGGTAACTGCACCCAGACCAAACACTGCGTATATGCCCATAGCATCCATGAACTCAGGAAGAGTAAGCTCCAAGAAGACTGCCACTAATTTTCCTGTAGGCCTTCAGGAGCCGATTCCGATATGGGTCAAGAAAGTTTACGAACGAATGTGGAAAAGCCGAGATATGAAAGAAGATTGTGACCCAAGACCTAACTTTGGTGCTAACACCAACTTGTTTTAGAGAAAAGAGAGGGTGGATTGCTGAAGAAGCAGATCATGAGGAGGGACTCCAGTCTAAATTCTTTGGGGGAAGTACCTCCCCAAGCAGAAGTAAGCCGGGAGGTCTCTTATCTTTATAGATCCTGTAAGAACTGACCCAAACAGTAAGACTTCTTTTGGGATTAGAAATAGTCATGATGTTTAGATGATATACAGTCAGTTGGAATCCCAGTTTTTACGGGAACTCCTATCCAGCAGGATGGTGAAATTGAGGAGGAGTACAAGAAGCTGAAGATTGAGAGCCAAGACCAACAGGTAATAATCACCAAGCTCCAGAGAGACAATGAAGAGTATGTGCAGAAACTGAAAGAGTTGTCCAGAAAGTGCATGAACTATGAATCCTTAATTGAAAAATATAAAGTTATCATTGAGTCAACTAAATCAGAACATGACCAAGCCAAGAAGGAAATGGACTGTAAAGAAAGCAAGACTATTCAAGAGCTCACGAAAACTATCGAAACATTGAAGGTAGCAAACTCTGAGCTTACAAATAAAAATAAAGAGTTGCTCTGTAAGAATGATAAGAAAGATCCGTAAGTATCCCTCCTTTATTCTGTAGACCAGGGGATTCTTACTATGAAATTGTGATATATGGAATAAACCAGTTGGAGGAGATCACAAGGAGTTATTTAACAAAGAAGTTGATGAACCATCCTGTACTAACTCCTTCACTGACAATTGTTGATAAACAGGATGTGTTCAACATCCTTGATTATAGCCCAGAACATCCTTACAACAGGGTCCAGGAATTCCAGAAGGCCAAAATATTTCCTCCAATGAAGAGTGTTGTAGATCTTAGATATGAGCTCAAGAGAATGGTCGAGGAGCAAGAAAGTAATGATGGAGATGTCCAGACATCAAGCTCAAACATCTTAAGTGACAACTCTGAACAGCTGTTAGAGAAAATAAGCCAGCTTGAATCTAGACTGGATACTAGAAACAATAAAATTAAGAAGTGTAATCTTCGTAAAAAAGAGCTGGAGGATCGACTAGATAGTTGCGGAATGACAATCTCTATGTTACAAAATGAATTGATATTTACCAGGAAGAACTGTTATAAGCTTGCAGAGGATGTCTCGAAGTCCTACACTGAAGCTGATGTGGCTGACTACAAAAGACAAATTACCCAGCTGCATGAATCTATTAGTCAATACAAAAAGGAGAATACTAATTGAATAGAACAGGATGTAGGCCTACAGAAAAATCTTGCTAAGTTTAGAGCAACTAATAGTGAAATTCCTCATAAGAATCAGGAAATAGCTGATTTAAAGAAAGCACAGGAAGAGAAGTGTAAACGTATCTCTGAGATGGAACAGAAGATAAGGTCACTGGAGACTTTAAAACAGAAAATACAGGAAGAAAAGGTATCTATTGGAATCAGCATTTAGCAAGAGATTGAGAAAGATCTCTCTGTCAGGATCCAAGTCCTAGAGCAAGACTTAATCAGGAAAAATGAGATTGTCGTAAGCCAGAAGAAGCGCATATTCGATCTGACTGATTCTGAGAGATTGAAGCAGCAAAATGAGGAACTCAAGCAAAGACATAACCAGTTATGCGGTAAATTGTCTTGTTTATTTCTAGACTCTATTGAGACTTTGCTTTACTGCAAAGCGTCGAATGAGCCAATGAAGATACCCTGCTTCACTCCTTCAGGGAACACTGTTAACATGTCTGTCATTGAAAAATGGATATCGTAAGTTTAATTAGGCTTAACCCATTCTAGGAATGGCACTAAAGATCCATGGAATGGAAAACCATGCAATGAGGCTATCAAGAACCTTCTTGCCATAAACCTCGACCTTCTTCTCGTGCAGCACAAATCCACGCCTCTATGTTAAGAGAATGGTTTGGTGGTGATCCAATATTGGCTCTGAATCTTGGGGTTTTGGGGTTTTGGGGTTTTGGGGTTTTGGGG